CACCAAAAGCCGGCTCAGTGTTAAGAGTTACTAGAGACTCAGTAGGGCAGATATAAACCTACAGAGCATAGTTGCTAAGTGCAAGGGCTCTGACACCAGATTATCTGAAGTTGAATCACGGTTTAACCTCTTTCTAGTTGTGAGTTGTGTGATCTTGGGCAAGTTATTTAACATCTCTGTGCTTTGGTTTTCTCATCTGTAAAATGGGGATAATAATAGAACTTGTTTCCTCTAGTTGTTGTGATTAAATGAGTTAATATATTTAAAGCACTTAGAATATACCTGGTATAAAGTAATCACCATGTACGTCTTTGTTAAAAGGAGAGAGAAATTCCTATAATGGTAAAGGTAGGAAAGACAACTTTGCTTGTAAAGTACCTACTTGCATTCTCAAAGCTACAGTCCCCAACCCCAGGGCTGCAGACCAGTACCAGTCTGTGGCCTGCTAGGGACCAGGCTGCAGAGCTCCACTGCCCACCGCACCGCCCGCCCCCAACCGGGTCCGTGGAAAACTTGTCTTTAATGAAACTGGTCCTTGGTGCCAAAAAGGTTGGGGACTGCTGCTCAAAAGGTTCAGGTTGGCACTAGACTTATATAATTGAATTAATCAGCATGACTGATAGGATAACTATATTGTGATAAAGACAACAGGATGAAATAAACTGTGGTTGGAACATGTCTAGTTCTTATTAACGGCAGTTATCTTGAATTTAAGGTATATGATCACATCGAGCTGCATTAGGTCATTAAATATGAAATGTCTGATTTTGAATCAAAAGTATAGTTTATTATATCTCAAGCAAGAAGCAGTACAATGAATAAAAGTATGTGCCTAAACTATCAGCACAATTTTGCCACCTCAATGGTAGCTTGTTTATGCCAACAGGGAAGAAGCTTGGAGAGCAAGTGGTGATGAAATCGCAAAAGGAGTTTTCCACAGCTTGTTGAGCATAGAATATTTTTCCTTGCAAGAAGTGGTCCAAAGCCTGGAAGAAGTGGTAGTCAGTTGGTGCAAGGTCTGGTCAATAAGGTGGATGACAGAGAATTTCCAAGTCCAGCTTCTGTAGTTTGAGCAGTGGTGTTTGTGCAACATGTGGTCAAGTGTTGTCTTGCAAGAGGATTGGCCTGTCTCTACTGACCAATCTTGGTTGCTTCATTACAAGCATCCTCATCATTTCATCCAATCAGTTGCAGTAGACATCTACTATAATGGATTAACCAGGTTTCATGAAGCTGTAGTGGATGATACCAGCGCTGGACCACTAAACACACATCATTTGCTTTTTTTTTTTTTTTTGGAGGCAGAGTCTCACTCTTTTGCCCGGGCTAGAGTGCCGTGGCATCATCCTAGCTCACAGCAACCTCAAACTCCTAGGCTCAAGCGATCCTCTTGCCTCAGCCTCCCGAGTAGCTGGGACTACAGGCATGCGCCACCATGCCTGGCTAATTTTTTCTATATATTTTTAGTTGTCTAATTAATTTCTTTCTAATTTTAGTAGAGACAGGGTCTCGCTCTTGCTCAGGCTGGTCTCGAACTCCTGAGCTCAAACAATCCGCCCGCCTCGGCCTCCCAGAGAGCTAGGATTACAGGTGTGAGCCACTGCACCCGGCCATCATTAGCTTTTTTTGATGAATATTCGGTTTGGGGCTGTGTTTTGGCATTTCATCCTTATCCGACCATTGTGCCTAAAGCTTGCAATTGTCAAAAAGAATCCATTTTTCATCAAACGTAACAATATGGTATAGAAATGGTTCATCTTTATGTCATGACAGCAAAGAAAAGGAAGGCAAGCTTCAAAACAATTTCTCTTCCGAGGCTTGTTTAATTCATGCAGAACCCATCAATCTAGCTTCTTTACCTTGCTGACTTGTTTCAAATCCAACAATGTTGGCATAGTAACATCAAACCTTGCTGCTAATTCATGTGTAGGTTGAGATGGATTCGCTTCCACTACAGCTTTCAGCTCATCATTATCCACCTTGGTCTCAGGTTGTCCATGTGGCACATTTTCAAGATAAAGATTACCAGAATGGAACTTCTCATACCATTGACATACGGTGTGTTCATTAGCCACATCCTTCCTAAACACTTCATTGATATTTTGAGCTGTCTGTGCTGCATTAGTTCCAGGATGGAACTCATATTTGAAAATAACATGAATTTTTTACTTATCCATGGTTCCATAAAAATTGCTCTAAAAAAAATGTGAAAGATAATCACAAGCCAAAACGTGCGTTTGAAAGACCGAGGATGTACTTTCACAATAAAAATAAAACAAGAAGTGTCAAAGTGAAATGTCAGAGATATTAACTGTCAAACTTAGTACTTAAGGAAATCGAACATTTCATACTTAATAACCTAATATTTCCATTGTCATAAAGAATGTCCCATTAAATGCTTACTGGCTTAGAACCCTAACCTCTCACTCTTTTCCAGTTGGATTATGGCCTTTTCTCTTTTCAGTCTAAAATAACATTGGATGAAAAGTGATAATAATAAACATTTTCTGTATCCAGATTAACAGAAAAAATAGCAGAATACCTTCTTGGTGCTAGGTATTATAATGAGCCAAACAAATAACTTTTGTGTAAAATACTGAAGTAGGTGCTTTGAAGAATTCATAAAAGTTTATGACTCTTATTTTTTTATGACTTTTATTGTGAAGATAAAATGCATATACATGAGAAGATTACACAATGGAAGTATACAGTTAAGTGACTAACTCGTGATATAGTAAGTGTTATAAGAGATAAGATGGGGCAGAGGTCACTACTGATTGTAAGGAAATTTCACAAATGAAGTGAGATTTTTATCTGGATCTTTGAAAAAGGAAGTCATTATAGTCGTTACATTTCCGGATAAGCAAGGACTCAAATAATTTCTCTCTCATGTGAACTTTCTTAGGAAATTACTAGAGAAAATACTTCAGCAAAACAAGGGAGAACACTAAGAGGAAGATACTAGAGCCATAAAACCAGGGTTCTAATACAAGAGAGGGGTGAAGGAAGTCCTAGGACTAGAGAGTAACCAGCACAGATTGGAGCAAAAGAATGGAGGAGGGAAGGAGGGAAGCTCTAGGGGAAAGACAGAACTGATGGGGATTTTATATGTTTCAGTGTTTCATTCCATGTGATACATGTTTGAGGTATTGGATCCACTATAGCATTTGGGGGGAAAAAAAGAAATAGGTAAATTAAATACACCACCAACAAAGACAAATGGAAAAGCAAGGCAATTACTGACTTGACGAGGACAGGTGTAAAAAAAGGAAATAATCATATCAGCAGTGAATAATATTTACATGGTCATGATAAAGTACATATGAACTGCTGACTTATCCAAACATTGTTAGACAACTACTAGCAGAATGGCAAGAGGGGTAAGAGACTTAAATCCTCAACTAACCCGTTGAGATAATTTCTACACCATCAAAAAAAAATGGCAACATATAATCTAGAAACTGGAAGGTAAGTTCCAATACAAAGAGCCGAAAAAATTTGGAAGTGTTGCCCCTAAGAAAGGAGACTTGGGGAGAGGGTGATGGTGTATGGAGGTGTAGGGCAGGGACTGCTGTTTTTCATTGTAACCCTTCAAAAACATTATATGGAGAAAACATTTGCTTAAAAATTAGAGTGGACAGAAAAATCTAAAGACTTTGAGAAATGATAATAGACAAGGGTCTGATGGACTAGAGACAGTAGGATCACTATCATTCATTCATATAATAAATATTTATCATGCACCATTCCAAACCAAGCACTAAGCCAGACACCAGGAATACAAAGGTAAACGAAGACATACAAGGTCCCTATCCTCATGAAGCTTGTATCTATCTACTATGGCAAGTAGACAACAAACAAGAAAATAAATACAAAGATGGACAGATTGTAGTAGTAAGTAGTATGAATACAAACAAATTAATTACTGCGATAGAAAATGGTGGTGAGGGGAAGACAAGGCAGATTCTTCAGTTAAGTTCGTCAGGGAAGGCCTCCCTGAGATGAACAGATTTCATAGACATGAAGCAAAAACCAAGGCAAGAAAGAGCGGGTGGGTCTAGAAACTGCTTGAAAGCCATTGTGGCCAGAAGCACCAGAGCAAGTGAGCTGATCATGGCTCAAGATGAGGTTGGAAAAGTAGCAGGACTCAGATTGTGTTGCTATAAGTATAAATTGGGAGTCCTCAGGATATAGGCGATATTTAAAGCCTTGGAAGAGAGTGTATATTCCATAACCTCATCCAGAGGAATTCCAACATTGAAGACATGAGGAGCCAGTTAAGGAGACTGAAAAGGTGGGGCCTGTGAGTAAAGGCACAGCAAGAAAGTCTGAAAACCTCACCAATAATTTCCTAACATTTTTACTTGTCATTTCTTTAAAACTGCCCTTCAGCTTCTATTGACTTTTCAAATTAAAGTGCATTCAATAGGGTTTTCAGATTTTTGTGCCAGTTCCGGAAATAACTGGAGATACTAATATCCCAGAAAAATCAATTTACAATGATCTAGAGTTATTTGTTCATCTCCGCTGTAAGTTATACCACCGTGGCCCAGGATCTTCGTTCGAATGCTAGCCACGGGGTTCCCCCTCTTTGTTTGGTTGTGGTCGTCCCAAGCCTCAGCGCTAGGATTTTAAGAGTGTTGTCCTCGCAGTTATTCCGACGCCCGCGCCCCTAGCCCCCTTTAAGAGTAAACAATACATCGTCTTGCACTCTCCGTGCTGCATGGAAATCGAGCGCGCTGTCTTGCCCACAGCCTAGACACCAGGCGCAGCAGTAGCTGTCAACAGCCCCGGGATGCGGTTCCGTTGCTTTGGGCGCACCTGAGATCAGAGCCCGAGGGAGTCATGGCCACAGGCGGTGCCGCCGCAGGTAGGTCAGCCCAGGTGCAGGGCCTGGCGGGCACTCTCGGAAAATGGCGGCCAGGGAAAAGATGAAGGGGGAGGGAAGCAGCGGTTGGTTACTGCTTCCGAGGTCATGTGCCCCGGACACGTCTTTAGGATGCAGGCCTGGCGCGCGTCCGGAAGCGCTGGCGAGACAACCAGCTCAGATCTTGGGGGAAATGACACCCCTATGCCCTCGTCCGGCACTCTGCTACCATTTCCTTCCGTCTCTGCTCCGCTCAGTGTTTAAAAACGCGCCAAGCACCCGGCAGGGAGCCGAGGCCGCGGGACTCTCCGAGCCAGGCCCAGCCCTGGGCCCAGCCGCCCTGCTCCGGACACTCCGGACGGTGTCCAGCGCCAGCCGCCAGAGCCGAGCCTGCCGCGGAGCCAGTAAAGTCGGGGCCCAGGCTGGAAGGGCACGCTTTCTAAGGGGTGGGGATGCTACATGTCCGTCCTACGTTACCCGCCAAGCCCGGGAGCAGCGGGCTAGGGAACCCGACCCACCCGTAAGGAAGCCCTCCGCCTTCAGGCTATGGGGGACGTGGGAGTGCGCGCGGCTCCTACGCGCGCGGGAGCGAGTCCATGCGGGTCCCCTAATGAGGGGGGGGCGACGGTGGCTTTCTATTGTTTGTGACCGAGGCCACCGAAGCTGCCCCCTACATTGGACCCATGCGCTAAATTTGAAATGTTTATTAGGGCTCAGGAGTTTCCAGTCCCAAACATGGTTTTCGGGAAGGGCTTCTAACCCAAAATTTGACTCTTGCTTCCCCTCCCAGCCAGAACTGTGGACCCGTCCAGGAGTGGGGAGGAGCTGGCGGGAAATTTAGATTTTGGCGTGTTCCCTGCCTCGGGTTTCATCCTATGCTCTCTTTTACCCTTTTCTATTCGCACTCCTTGCTCCGCCATGCCCTGCTCTGAAGAGACCGCTGTTGTGTCCCCCAGCAAGCGGGCCCGGCCCGCGGAGGAGGGCAGCATGCAGCTCCGCTTTGCCCGGCTGTCGGAGCACGCCACGGCCCCGACCCGGGGGTCCGCACGGGCTGCGGGCTACGACCTGTACAGGTGAGTGGGGACCTCCGGGCCTCCGCGCGCCTTGGGTGGTCGGCCCTGGCCAGGAGGCTGAGAAGGGCTGCCTTCTGCCTCCTCCATCGCTATCCCCGCAAAGAAGGCCCGATTCCTGAGCTGTAGAGCTCCAAGCCATGTTAGCTTTTATTTTCAGGCCATCTGCTGCTACAAGTAGAAACATTCATTGAGAAGATTACGGAAACAAACTAGCTCTTTTTGTATATATATAAGGTTTCTGTCCTTCTGTAGGTTTTCCCTAATCACATAGTGGATTGTTGTGTGTAAACCAGTTAGAACGGTGCCTGGCACATGTTAAGGACTTAAGCGGTGTTAGCTATTATTGGCTATTATTTGGCCTTTTTTCTTGGTTCTTTCTTCATTTTCCTCTTTTCATACTATGTTAGTGAAGCATACACCTTTTAAAAGTATGACTTTCTGCCCCCTCATGCCAATGTGTACCTCAGTTTCCCAATAAAATTTTGTTCGGGGCAAAGACATTTATTAATACAATGTCGAAATCTCTTTCCTCCACCAAAAATATTCACAGATAATTATTTTATTTAAAGCGGTCATCATTTTAATAAGCTAAAAGAATCTACTTCTACCTTCATAAACTTTTTAAAAGATGAATTGGAAATTCATCATAGCAAGATTGATTATAGAAACCAAGGTTGCATGAATTATTTTATGAAATATATTAATAAACTAATTCTGTACGCTTGATCACAACGAAAGAAAATATAAAAACAATTTTATAAATCTTTTTTTTTTAAATACCTTCTTAGTGCCTATGATTACACAATACCATCTATGGAGAAAACTGTTGTGAAGACAGACATTCAGATAGCTCTTCCTTCTGGATGTTACGGAAGAGTAGGTAAGTGATTTAAGAAACAGGTAACTATTTGTCAAGCTCTTCCTTTGTGATATGTCCTTTCATCATAGTTTCATCTGCAGTAATAAGTGAAGGGATATTGCTTGGGCTGTGTCAGGAAGCACCATCCATGATGGCAAATGCAGCCATTTGAAAGCCTCATTTACATATCTGCTTTAGCCTCCATCTCTTTTTGCCTATTTACTTCTGCTTCCTTACTGGAGCTTTTAGGCTCACATTAGCCCAGGATATTGTTCTCAGAACACCTCACGGGAGAAAAACTGAAAACTTAGGTGATTTTTAACTAGAGCTTTTTCTAATGCTAATGCCAACTCTCTCTTCAAGGATTCAACTGCATATGAGGTCAGATTTCTTTGTGAAGACAGTGATGAGAGTGCCTGATATTTGTTGAATAAGACAGAGAGGCTTAGGATAATGGCACATGGCATTTTATATTATGAGAGGAAAACTTCTGACCCCTGTTGGTCTCAGAGTACATCAGCCCACTTAACCTGTTCTTGTTTGGGTGCCCTCCCATGGGGTTAGGGTAAAGGATACTCTTTCAGTGTTCTAGAGAGAAATGCTTCATTGAGAGGAGCTAGGACAAAATGGAGTGCAATTCAACAAGGATGGTTTTTCTGGAACGAGTCAGTTGTCGCCAGAGAGAGTTCAAAACTTCTTTTCAAGACCATAATACTTTTTGGCTGATTTCAAAGTAAACATAAAGGGGCAAATGGAACTGTGACCCCCTCCTCTGGGGAAGGAAGCTAGACTAGTACTATCTTGACAGCCATGAGTGGGAGAACAGCTGATACTTCAGTCCTTAAAAGAAACAAGATGGGCTGTCTCCTCGTCTCTTTTTGGCATCATTGACTGTGGTTTTAGAATTTTTGGTGAGGAAAAAGGGCAGGAGATGGAGTGACATAAAAGTCCAGGCAGGAAGAGGCAGCATTTATTGACAAAGTGCCTGATTTAAATTATTCTGAAATGACAAACTAGAAGTTAGGATAATTAATGATAGGCCTGATGCTTATTTAAGTCAGCAAGTATAACATAAAACTTAACTTTTATTTTTTCAGTTTTAGGATAAAAAGTATACTGGAATTCAATTTTTGAGGCTTAGTTTTAGGCATTTTACTTGACTGATGTTAGGCCTTTTATCTTATTCTGGTTCATGTGTTTCATACAGGCGCATCTTTTGGCATCGGAATCCTGAGTAGGAGGAGTCCCAAGTTCTAGGCTATACTCTGCTCCCGTTTGGTTAGGTTTGTTCCTCTCCCCTCTGTCTCCCTTCTTCCAATCTACACTGTCCATGTTCAGATCTCCCATCTTGAAACCAAAGTCAGCTCTTCTCTTGCTTCCCCGTTGTGGCCAGATTTCTTGAAGGAGCAGTCTGTGCGTGTCCCCACTTGTTTATGTTTCAGTTCATTCCAGCAGTCCTTCTCCCACACCTACAACACACAAATCAATCCTCAATTGACCAAATCATGTGGAAGTGGTTTAAGTTGATTTTAAATTAAAACCTTGTTGAGTTTCTCTAAACTAGTCTTTCCAACTTTGGTAATCCAGTATGATAAAAATGTTCTTTAATTCAGAACCATCTGCTAAAGTTAAGATGAAGATAATAGATATAGGAGAAGAGAATAACGTGCTTAAAGTGCGTCAGTTATATCCAGTATTTCCCCTCCCCTTAAAATAACTAATGTCTCTTTTTTGATTTTCAGCTCCACGTTCTGGCTTGGCTGCCAAACATTTTATAGATGTAGGAGGTAATATGTTTACTTTTTTATTCTGTAAATGTTTGTAAGTATTTACTTTGTTTGAAAGGTAATATTCAGAGGCCCAGGTGAGATGGCTCACGCCTATAATCCCAGCACTTTAGGAAGCCAAGGCGGGAGGATAGCTTGAGGCCAAGAGTTTGAGACCAGCCTGGGCAATATATATAGTGAGACCCCATCTCTACAAAAATAAAAAAATTAGCTAGGTGTGGTGACGTGTGCCTGTATTCCTAGCTACTTGGGAGGCTGAGCCAGGAGAATTGCTTCAGCCCAGGAATTCAAGGTTATCAAGCTCACCTGATCATAGTAAGCTATGATCAGGCCACTGCACTCCAGCCTGGGCAACAGAGCAAGACCATGTCTTTAAAAAAAGCAGACAAAAAGTTTGTTAAAAAAAAAAAAAAAATTCTTGCAAGAAAGTCCTCAGTGACACCTATTTTCCTTATAAAGAAGCCTTGCTTATTTCTTCCAAAGTTAACAGCTTACTCATGTGGCCCTTTTATGAAGAAGCTTCAGTGTTCACTGCTAACCACCCTTGCTGTAGGATTTTTTTTTCATTGCCTACTCGTCTAGAAGCAGTTGCTATAGGACTTCTAACCACCCCATCTTTATTTATTTATTTATTTTTTTTGAGACAGAGTCTCACTCTGTTGCCCTGGCTAGAGTGAGTGCCGTGGCGTCAGCCTAGCTCACAGCAACCTCAAACTCCTGGGCTCAAGCGATCCTCCTGCCTCAGCCTCCCGAGTAGCTGGGACTACAGGCATGCGCCACCATGCCCGGCTAATTTTTTCTATATATATTTTTAGTTGTCCGATTAATTTCTTTCTATTTTTAGTAGAGACGGGGGTCTCGCTCTTGCTCAGGCTGGTTTCGAACTCCTGAGCTCAAACATTCTGCCCGCCTCGGCCTCCCAGGAGTGCTAGGATTATAGGCGAGAGCCACCACGCCCGGCCTAACTACTCCATCTTATAAGGAAAGTCTCACTTTCCTGATATGGTTCCTTACTTCAGATCTCAGACTGGATGTCCTGACCCTTCTTTATCCCCATAATAATAAGTGTTTCACTTAACAAGACATTTTGGTCCTCACATAAGTAGGAATGCTAGATTCTCCTCCTCCAACCATTTTTACGAAGCTGTTTTATCAAGGCCTTTTAACAGATCAGGAAACTGGCTCAGAGATGAGCCCAAGTTGATACTTGTTAATACAAACAGAAGTCCCTATCCATGTGACTCCAACCCCCTTGTTCTTTCCACTGCAATTAAATCTGGAGATTACCCTGCCCCATCTCCTTCACCAAGTAAACACTGTCCTAAGTTAGCTCACTGTTTTCTGCCACTGCAGGGGTTAAGTATGTGATAAGGCCTGGCTATCCCAGACAAAACCACAGCCATTATTAAATTTTATTAACAGGATTTGTTCGGTAAAACTTGGATTCAGTCAAAAGGCCACACTCCAGGATCCAGAAGACCACATGTGGCCCCAAGGACACAGGTCCCCACCCCTGGAAGGGCCTGGTGTCTCCCCATGGTGTCACTAGGTGGTGCCATAGGGCAAGACAGGAGCCTGAAAGTTCATGGTTCTTAGGGACTGAAGGGGGGCTAATTTGTTTGTAGCAGGGATTGACATTGACAGCCCACTCTGGGTTGAGGATTCCCTGGGCTCAGTGAGTTATGCTTGATGTTCAAAAATGCTTTTACAAGGTCAAGTGTGGTCATTTGGGACTGTAACATAAGGATATAAAAGATTGTATATATTTTTAAGGAAATTTCAAAAGGTTGTGAAAGGAATAGACCTTTGGAATAACTGCTGGATTCATGTCCCAGCTCTGTCACTGACTAGCTAGCTGTTACTTAACCTTTCTGAGGCTTAGTTTCCTCATCCGTACAATGGAAATTAGCGTGCCTGCCTCTGAGAGGCGGGAGGATTAAATGACAATGTATGTAAAGCATTGAATACAGTGCTTGGCACATATTAGATTCTGTAAGTTATAATTTCTGTCCCCTAGGGACTTCACTAATTTTTTTGTTTTTAATGTGGAAACTTTTTTTTTTTTTAACTTCGTTACTAATTTTTGCTCTGTTTAAAACAACCCTCTGGAAAAAAATTCATGTAAAAGAAATGGAAAGTTAGTTTGCCTGGTGGTTGGTATGGTGCTATTCATAAAATTACATTGTGGTGTGTTCTTGGATGCAGAATATCTTAAACATGTCTCGTAGGCACAAGTTTATCGTAGTTGGCAATGGTTTTTATTTCTGAAGAGAGCTGTTGTTAGAAATCCCAGGCTGTAAATAAGGGTCAAAGGGAAAAGTTGAGTATGCAGGATTCTGTTCAGAATTCACATCTGGTAGGTGTGGATAGTTTTCACTAAAAAAGGTTTCCAACAAATGACATGCCAAACTCTTGACACGGTAAAACTTTTGCCTGAAGTCAGTTAATCACTCTGCCAGTTCCAATGCTTGATTTTTCCAGTGATAACTTCAAGATACTTTCTGCTTTCTCATGAAGAGAAATGTCGGTGCTTATATTATATCCCTTAAGCAGAGAAGGAATATATTTTGGGTTTTCTTGAGGGTCAAGTGACAATTGGTTAAGTAAGTGAAATTGAAACTATTGAATTTTTTATATCATTGGCATTCATGCTAGAAAAAGTATTGAGGGCCTTTTTTTCTGCCATACATTTTAATTGACTTCAAATGACTTCATTTCTTTTAGTCAGTCAAAAGCTTTTCACATTTTTGTGCCCCAAGCATAAAATCTTGTTAGATCACCTGGCTCTGTAGAATTCAAGACACGTAACCATTTGAGTACTCCTAATGTGACTACTGTACAGATACGTAGCAGAGGTCTTTACAAAAAGGGACTGTTTTTTTTTTTTTTTTGAGACAAAGTCTCACTCTGTTGCCTGGGCTAGAGTGCTGTGGCGTCAGCCTAGCTCACAGCAACCTTGCCTCAGCCTCCCAAGTAGCTGGGACTACAGGCATGTGCCACCATGCCCAGCTAATTTTTTCTATATATATTTTTTTAGTTGTCCAGATCATTTCTTTCTATTTTTTAGTAGAGACGGGGTCTCGCTCTTGCTCAGGCTGGTCTCGAACTCCTGACCTTGAGCAATCCACCCGCCTCAGCCTCTCAGAGTGCTAGGATTACAGGCGTGAGCCACCGCGCCCGGCAGAAAAAAAGGGACTGTTTTTGTGTGGTAGAAGATACTATAAAGTCAAAAAACAAATAATTTGCAACTCACATGAAAAAGAACAGGTAAGAAAAAAAATCATCAACAACATAGAGACGATAATATGTAAATGTCAAGCAAACATATGGAAGGGAAAAGGTCCAGTCTCACTAATTGTCAGGGAAATGCAAAGTAAAGCAATAAGATACCATTTTTTACCCATCATACTGCCCAGAATTTAAAAGATTACTGCCGTCTGGTACTGGCAAGGATTTTGCAAATGGGCATTCTCAAGCACCGAATGGCTATACCTTTTTTGTGAAATTATCTAGCAGTAGCCTTCAAAATTGAAAATACACACACCCTTTGACCCAGGAAAATGGTTTTTACAACCTATTTGATGAGAATAAAAAAGCACTAATGTACAAGGACATAATGCAAAGGCTGCTTTGTTTATTGTAGCAAAATGTGAAAGCAACCTGAATGTCTGTTTTTATGTAAGAGAATAGTTATGTAGAAATAATGGGTACTGTATTTCCATATCTTATATCCAAAAAGAATAGCTAAGATTTATATGTATAGTAATCTCAAAGGATATCTATGATATTTTAAATGGAAAAGTAAAGTAACATGTAAAGTATATTACTGTAACATTGGCTACCTCCAGTATATAGCCTTTACTTATATATATTTACATTATTTGAATAGCTTTAAAATTCTCTGATAAAGTAGGAACAGAAGAGTTCAGAAGTCAGTCAGTACACATTATCTTTCTCTGACTGGTTTGAGGTAGGTGGCTTATTAACCTGTACCTCAAAATCTCCCAGCGTGGAAATTCCATTGCCTTCTGTGGTCACTTGTTCCAGCATGGAACAACATGCTGTGCTGAGGGTTTTCTTTGTTAAATCTAATTTAAGTCATTCCTGCGGTCAAAATTTTCTCCAAATAGGTAATGCAGAAAACAGTTGGTCCCATCTTTATATCAGTTTTTTTCATAAATATTAAAGATCTAAACTAATGGTCAGTTGGCAGTGGGGAAAGAAACCAGAGTTTAGTATTCTTTGAATTAGTCAAAGTTGTCCCTGTACAACTAGAAAAGAACTGTTTCTTTCAGTCCAGATGTGAGTTGAACTGCCTTTGCTGCTTTTCAGCCCACTCTTAGACTCGCTCTTATCCTCACTGTTAAATACTGATTTATCTTTAATTCAAACTCCTAAAAGTGTTGCATCAGGAACCTTTAAGAAGTGCTTAAATTCAGATTCACTTGTCCCTAGTAATTTATTCATAAAGCACAAGGGTTCATTTAAAATTCTACTGTAATCTACTGGAAAAATCTAAAATGTTGGTTTTTCTGAGTATTTTTCCCCATGGTGGAACTAAGAGTTTGCCTTTTTTTCCTATATGAGAAAATTGAAGGGGTGTACTTAGGAATTATCCTTGTTCTTAAAAAAAAAAGTTATTTTTTTTCCGTTAATCTTCAACTAATTAACAATATGGGCAGACAGCATTAATACCCATTGAGCTAAATTCCTGATTATTTTTATTTCCTTTTTTTTTTCCCCTTCGTAAAGGTTTTTACAGGGGATAGGGTGTTAAAAGAAATAAGATGTAACATGGAGCTGCATTGAATTAGGTTCATGTGAATCCTGTTCAGCCTTTCACAAACTGAGGGGAAAGAATTAACATGTATAAAAGGAAATTGATGGGGAGGATGGAGGGTGACTGCTAGTAGTAGGAGTTTTCTTTTGGAGGATAATGAAAATGTGCTAAAATTGACTGGTAATGTTTGTACAATTCTTTTTTTTTTTTTTTTTTCCAAGACAGAGTCTTGTTCTCTCACCCTGGCTAGAGTGCAGTGGCACTTTTTCCTCTTTTTAGTAGACACAGGGTCTCGCTTTTGCTCAGGCTGGTCCTGAACTCCAAGCAATCCTCCCACCTTGGCCTCCCAGAGTGCGAGGATTATAGGTGTGAGCCAACGTGCCAAGCCTATAATTCTAAATACTCTATAAACCATTGAATTGGACGCTTAAAATGGATAAATTATATGTGAATCATCTGTCAGTATAAAAAAAGAAAATGAGAAGACCCGGTGTACCTATCTTATCTGTGCTTGTGTTTATGGAAACATTTTAAATTCTTAGCTCAAAAATAAATGCTAGCAAGTCCGGTAAATGTAGCTTTCTGGGCCAGGACAAGGACCTGGCTCAAGTCTATCCTGTAAAGATCTGCCCCTGTGTTCATAATCTCAAAATAGGTACTAATTACACATATAAAATATATTCATTATTAAGCTTATGTGCTAATGTCTTCTGAGAAGTTATGCTCTAAGAAAGGATGGTGGTTCAAATTAAATGGAGAGGAAGAATATGAACTGAAAAGTTCAGCTTTGTTTTATTATAAAAATGGAATGTTCTGATATTTGCAAGACTGCTGCCTAACAATGTCAGTGTTGACTGATTCCACTGCAGACCTGTAGGCTTTTTGACATTTTTATTTGTGACTCAATCATATTTCAATCTGGATATTAGTGGGAAGCTGCTACCAGGAAAAGCCTTTAAAACCAAAGTCATAATTTTCCCATAGTCTTTTTGGCAAGTGTGCAGTGAGTAGATGGTAGTTCGGAGACAGTAATTGCTACTCCCAGCTTAAAGCAGGAAATGGTTACCATTTGATAAGCGTGACAGGTTGAAAAATTAGGACCCATTTTCTAAGTTTTTATTTGCATTTTAGTAATATTTCTTGGTTTTGAGGGTTTACATAGTACTAGAGCAAGATTGACTTATTCAATTGTAGGGATAAAAATCTTAGAGCTATACAAGAATGATTTTGAGAAAATCTTATTCGCCTAGTGTTCTGATAGCATAAATCAAGATAATATTGTTTTTCTTTCCTCCAGCTGGTGTCATAGATGAAGATTATAGAGGAAATGTTGGTGTTGTACTGTTTAATTTTGGCAAAGAAAAGTTTGAAGGTATGTTAAATATATATATTTGCATAAATGCAGTGAGTTTTCTGAGTTACGTATGTGTAAATAACATTGACTCTTCAGATTCTCAGAATAAGACACAGTATAGAGAATGCATCAATAAAATATCAGTAATAAAGTGTTCTGTGTTTTTTTCTTTGAAGTAAAAAAAGGTGATCGGATTGCGCAGCTCATTTGTGAACGGATTTTTTATCCAGAAATAAAAGAAGTTCAAGTAAGTAATATAAAAACTAAGTAGAGAGTGAGTGATATAACATCTTAAGACTTAAGTGAAGAAAAAAATGTGATTTTGTCAGATGCAATGGCTCATTCCTGTAGTCCCAGCTACTCAGGAGACTAAGGCAGAAGGATCTGTTGAGGCCAAGAGTTAGAAACCAGCCTCAGCCACATAGTGAGGACCTATCTCAAGGAAAAGAAATCTAGTTTTGAGGATTTAATATGCTATTTGTAACTAAATAGTATATATGACTAGACTTATTTTAAGCAAAATTAAAATTTTAGTTTCAGAATTTCTTTAAATGTTTTTCACATAGATATGCAGCATTACTTTGGTTAATAAGTTATTTAAATATGCTATGAACTTCTAGTATTTCCTTAGATTTAAAAAGTTATCCAATAATCTAATTTATGGAGCTTTATTAAAATTTAATTTTCTTTTTGTAATCTCCCTTTTGAAAAAAAGATGAACAGCAAGAATAAAAGTCTTATATTAGGAGCTAGAGAGAAGAACTGAAAGGCACTAAAATTAACCACGAGGCTTACCACCTTTCTGTTTTTCAGGTTTTGGATGACACTGAAAGGGGTTCAGGAGGTTTTGGTTCCACTGGAAACAATTAAAATTTATACCAAGAATAGAAAATGAAAAATTGTACCTTTTTCTTAAAACTAAAGAGTTTTCGCTTAAAGTATTTTG